ATTTTTTGAAATACAGACAAGTTACTGCACTCACACTGGAGGCCTGGGAGAGCTCCCCTCTGATGTTAATCAGCTGGTTCTGCTGGGTTTCCTTTTTGAACTGCAGCTTTTCCATGATTAAAGGCTGGTTATGGTATATCTCCATTTCCTGATGAGTAGCCAACAGTGCTTCCTCTAGGCTGTCCTGGTAACAACAAGTGTTTTGTTGAAAATTAGTTTTTCTGCTTATTTAGTAAATAGACAGTGCACTGCAACATCCCTGTTGATCTATTTAAGAGAACATACACATTTCATCTAAATATTCGGATGTAAGGTTATAATGGTTTCACATAAATAAATGAGTGAATTTATTAGCTACGATACATGCTAACTGACCAGAAGAAACACTACATTGTGCACTAATTTAACGCAAGAGTCAGAAGATGTTGATTCAACTCTGTGGTCATTAATTGTGCTGTAGTTAGTGGGGTTGTTGTATTGGAACAATTCAGCCTCACCGCAGGGAGTAAAACTACTTGGTTAGGGTTAGAAAAAAAATCATGCTTTGGGTTAAAACACAACAGATAACACTTTTTTCAAAGCTTGCCAGAGCGACGCATCCCATCAGAATCCACATAGGCACGAGACATTCCTCCAGTTGAAATACATTTGTTTCAAAGTCGTGCTGACTGTAATGAAAAAAGAGGCCAGGGTGGTGAAAAACAAAATAACTTTCAGTGTAAAGAGGTCCCATACAACAACACCACAAAATACAGCTCCAGGTGAAGTCACCACAAATTAAGTGTTGACTAAAGGTAAGGTTGTATTAATAGCTAGGTTGTTGTAATGTACTGAGTTAAACTGCTTTCCTCTGATATATAAAGTATATTATCTTCAAATATGGTTAGGACAAATAAGGCTTCATGGGTTTCCTTTACCATGACAGTAGTACATTGCTGTGTTCAGTAGTTATTAAAAAACTCCAGTGATTTCATAGTTTTTATACTAATACCCTAAATTTGGCCATCTTCACAGGACAAAACGTTTCTTAAGAATTTCACAATAAAATGTCACATTTCCGAGGAAAATTGTGTACCTTATTCATTCTCAGTCTGTGGACAACTGCCTCGTGGTCTTTCAAAATCTGGTTCTGCTCACATAATCGCCCCAAGAGCTTCTGTGTAACAAGGAGTGGTTATTTTGTGAATTTGAGTGACACCAGGAAGGAAATATAAAACAAAGACAGGACAGCAGTGTGTATATGTCAGTAAACAATATACATATACAGCATAGTATATATGTGCACCAAAACATCACATTTGTATGCAATATGTGACTCTTAATCTGCTACCCCTTCTAGTTTCAACCACTAAACTGAGTAGCAACTGATTTCAGACATTTAATAAATAGGGTTACTGTAATTATATTTTT